TTTCTACTGCAAATCTCCATTTACTTTTGTATAATCCAGTTGAGAGCTGACTAGTTTAAAATTGTGAGTCATGCAAGAAAGTATTTGTGGCAAATAACAGGATACAAATTAGCTGCCCATAGCAATATTTTTCTCTCCAGTGCGTTCACCTTTTAACAGATCTGTCTTGTGGTCCCCACACAGTTGTGCCATTCTGGGCAAAGAACCACATTGCCCATTTGTCTTGAGAGATTTATAAATCTAGCAATTTTTCCAAAAATTCCTGATTTCATGACCCTCAGTGTAGCCAGTTCAGAGCCAAATTCCCTGAAATCAGAACATGGTTGTGTTCCAGAAGTTTAGAAAAGGCAGTCATATGCAGCCATTTCCTCTTGTCCCAGGCATATAAACAGAAACTTGCTAGTTAAGGATTTACCTTGCTTTATGAGAATGAGTTATTTCAGGCTCATTCCCATGTCAGGCAGCATTTGGTTTTTATCATTTCTACTTTGTTCAAAAATGGAAGAGACTTTTAGGTGTGAAAAAAGTTTTATTTTCCTTGTTTTAATATATCACATTCACTTTAATTTGCTCAAGCTCTTGATTTTTTTTAAACCACAGACAGTGTGATTTGACAAGCAGATTTCAGACATTTTACTGGGTTAAGAGCAAAGCAAGGGTGGCAACAAAAATGATGTATTCGTTGAAATTAACTACACCGTCACCATCCTCATCCAGCATCTTGAAAAACTGGTCCACTTCTTCCTTTTTGTCACCCTGTGGAAAGAAAGGATGATTTTAGATAAACTTGAAGAATCCACGGTCTTTCCTGAAAAGCAATGCGTTTTTCGTACATACCCCTGCTCCAGGAAGCTCTTTTTTTAGCATTGCTGCAATTTCCTTCTTGGATAGGGTGGTTTTGTCACCATCTGTTCCAGCATACTCATCAAAAGTCTGCTTAAGAATTCCAATTGCGCCAAGAAGCTTAGACATGGTGACTGAAACGAAGGAGACATTGCTTAGGTGTTTGAGGTTAATTTTTATATTTTAGAAATAGAAACGGCATACTGTGGGCCAGTTTGCCCTCTACCCCTAAACGTGGTCCTCAAGGCAAACTGCATGTTTTAGAGGCTTCCCTTTAACACATCTGATTTAGCACACGCCTGTTAGTCATTTAAAATGATGTGTGCAGAAGCAGGGAGACATCAAAAAAAACATACTGGACACTATTGAACAGTGCTTCATGGGCGTTGGCTGTTGCCCTAAAAAAAAAAAAAAAAAAAGCCACACCCACACAAGCTGCTTTATGTCTGAGTCAGAGCAAGAAAAGAATTGCACTGGTCTACACAACTCCCTTGTTTAGTGTGCCATGCTTCCTTCCTGCAGGGGCAGTATTGACCAAGCCACACAAGTATTTTGTTTTAATCAGGGCACAAACTAATGGGTGGAACCGCAAACTCCACAAACTCTCCCCAGCAATAAATAAAATACAAGTAATAATAAGCATTGTTGCACTTATAACCCTCGATTCAAGATGCCATTTCAAACGGTCCTTAACCAAATTTAATATAAACTTCTCTCGTCGTCTGCCTATTTTGCAAGCAAATTGTGCAGCTTTCTATTAATACATCACCTCAAAGGACTTGAGTTGCACACAACTCGCTTATAGAACTTTTGAAGTTCTATAAGCGTTTTAGAGACACACAAGAAAGGCATACAAATGTGCGTAAGACCCCTCCCGCCGCCCCCGCACCTCACTTTCCTGCCCTCACCTAGATGCAACTGCAATATGAACTTAGTCTAAGAAGCAATTATTCCTCTTACCGGTTCGTCTGAAGGAGTTGTGCTTGAGGAAGAGAAAAAGAGACGGATGTGAGAGGACTACACGGACACAGTCCTTTTTAAACAAAGTCTGACACACCCATCTTCAAAGTACCAACCCCTTTATCGCCTCTTTTCCGTGATATGTCCTTTTTTTTTTTTTTTTCGTTGTGTGCAGAGACACAGCGCCTATTTCTGTACCAGTAAGACCAGTTCAAATAATACTTTAGTCACTTCTAGGAAAATAGTGGCCCTGAATGATACCTTGGTGTTATGAAACCCGGTGGAGTAGGAAATAATGCGAATGTTGACTGAGCCTCAGGTGGAGCCAAGCAGGGTGATGACAGTCAGGCGCGAAAGGCGTTTAATTGGCTCCTAAAAACAAAAAAAAAGAAGAAGAAGAAGAGGAAGAAAAGAAAATCATAAAACACGAGCGGGCTTCAGTTTTTTACGCGAATGATCAGGGGCGCATGGACAGAGCGCGTTCACTCCGCAGCTCGCCACACCCTCGGTCTATTGGACTTTGGAGACTCTTGACGGTGGCAGTTGACTGAAACTGCCATATATTTCTAACAGTAGGGCTGTACTCATCAGCACACTCTGCAGAAGCTCCCTGCACCTGTTTTATAGTTGTTGTAAAGTGTTCATGTGGGAAAAGTAATGAATGCAGCATAAATTTACACTAAAAACGTGGAGATCACTTTAAGAATTTGGTAGCCAAACAGGTTCCTAAATATAAATGTTTTTTTTTTTTTTAACGTAGGAAAAAATCCTTTATTTTATTCTTGTCATATTTCTGCCAATGTGTGTGTTCTTTGTGCAGCTTCAAGAACAATCTTATTGTAATGTCACATCCTTCTGTCAGTGCACTACGCTACTAGTCGTCTTTGAGGAAACACTGGTATGCAAGTCTTTTGTCATTTTTTATGTGTTGTCATGTCTTTCTTATTTTTTAATGTCTATGTATACCATGATTCTGAAAAATAAACCAATCCATCAATTATTCTGAAATACTAAAAACTGTTTGAAAGCCTAGAATTTTTCTTACTAATCATTTTTCTTGGTCTTTTCTACATCACTCAAATAGTTAGAAGCTGGTAAATCACATTACATGCAGCGCCATCCATTTCATTGCATGCAATGCTCAAAGTGCCACTACATTTGCACACATGCAATTTGAAAATGATTAAATCTGTGCAAAATGCACCAAAATTAAGTTTGTGAGAGGGCGTTAATCGCATTTTAAGAATAACAAGTGTCTCATATTGGAGCTCTCTGCATTTCCCAACTGGACAGGAGACAAGAGCGAAGTAGCCAGTCAAAGCATTTTAATCTTCAATAATCACAAACCAAAGGCTAAAGAAACAATGTACTCTTTCGCAACAAAATACATTTCATAATCCTCAAAAGAGGAATGCCGTTTTCACTCAGTGAGTGAAAAGTGGATTTTATTTTTATTAATGAAGAGATACAAAACATACATTTGGTTGTGGAAGACACTTTTTGTGCAGGTGAATGATTTCCTTCTTTCACAGAGTTCTCTCAAATCCTTCTTATTTTGCTTACATTAGAAAAGTCTACTTAAGAACTAAAATTGCTGCCAACAGACAAGACATGGTGTCTGACACAAGAAGTTACATTTCAATCCCTACCCTTGATTTTGGAAGCATGTACTCTGGCCTGCATAACAGACACATGGGTGCTGGCCGTTGCTTTCTATTCTAGCCTCAAGCCAATAGCTTAAAAAAAATTATGTACACCTGCTTCAAGACTGAGTCAAAGCAGTCAACATTTATACCAACCTTCAAGCCATCTTGTTTGTTTAGCAAGCCTTCTGTCTCCAGGGCCAACTATGACTTAGCCATACTTGCGACGGCTGGTTTTAATCAGGAGACAAGCTTCTGACGGTACAACAGACCAGAAACTTGTTTACTGTTGCATGCAAATACCACCCCCTACACCTATAAAAGAATTAAAAAAAAAATCAAGGTTTTGTCATGATGTTTTTATGCATTCTTTCACTTGCATTTACACCCGTCGAACCCAAGATGGTATTTCCCTTGTCAGTACAGAAGGGTACTTTACTTCACAGTTTCCCCTTGGGGATCAGTAAAGTATATTCTATTCTACTTCCTATTAAATAGGCAAGTAGAATAGAGTAGAACAGATTAATTCTATGCAGATTAGTCTGTTCTTGAGAAAATGAAACTTTAACGACACAAGAAAGCTAATTACTAAATCCTCAACATTTTAATAAGACAAGCCTCACATTCACCTTGACTCCGAGAGGTTACAACATGCATGCATTATCTTTGGCATTTAAATTTCGATATGCACCAATTTATTTTAACTAACTTGACTTAGAAAAGCAGATGTGACTCCGAAAACATTTGCTTAACATGATAGAACCCAATGTTACTTTAGATATTTCAGTGGCTATGCAAAAAAGTAAAGTTTGACTAGGAAGGTCAGGATCAGCATATTTGACCAGTGTGGTGCATACCACATAAAAGGTAATTTTGAAATAGTAAAAATGTTGTCAAACTGGTTTGCTAAAACAAGAGAGGCTGCACCACTGCTTCGCTGTTTGTTGTGAGACCAGTAAACAGGAAATGCTGACATAAATTGAGATTGTAACAAAGCTGAAAAAAAAAGACCTTTTCTCATCTGAAATTTGAAAGCAATTTTGAGAGTGCCTAAAAAAGATGTCTTTTGATGAAAAGCAAGTTTTAAATTTAAACAAGAGAGATTATGCAGTGACAAAGAATTAGGAAAAACCCTAATACTGCAAGAGTCACTCAGGGCCATGGGGGAAAAGAGTAGTGGACATTTTCAGCTTGTGTTGTTAAGAGAAAGTCAAATTAGATTCCAAATAATTATGGGAATTTTTTATCCCCTCCTCCCCCTTTTTTTTATTTTTTTTATTTTAGATAGGAATGTGTAAGGCGGAGCTTATTTCAAGAGAATGTGGTTTGTGCAGGAGGAGATTAATGGGAACCACTCAAATACCAAGGATGCTTAAAGCAGAATGAAGTTTGCCTTGGGCGGTGACCAAGTCCGAGTCCTGAAACCGAAGTAATCAGATTTGTTGTGGAAAACAACTTGAATGACGCTGTTCAACACAAGACACCCACCAGCATTCAAGAAGTCGACGCTGTTGTGTGCTGAAGAATTAAGAGGCATAAATTCCTCCAAGTTGATGTGCGAGGCTGAGCCACAATTACTGGAAATGGTTCAGCTGTGGTTAATCTTGCCCATGGGTGCAACATCAAATGCAGCAAATAACAGTCACACAGCGATGACTCACACACATGTACAACTATTATTTAATTTTATTTTAGTTAGTTAATTAATTATTCAATATCGAATTGAACAAGTGTACCATTTGTATGTTGTTAAATATGCAAGCTCTCCTTTTCTTGCTTTTGGATTTGTGCGAACAGTTGTAAGTTGCAACAGAAAAAAAAAAAAATTGTGTTTTTCTGTGACAAGCTTGAGCATGCAATGGCCCTCCAAGGCATTTGGAGATAATTACACAGTGCTGCCAATTCAGGCTTTATTATGTGGTGCTCTGCGCAACTTTGTCCAGACTTGATGAATAAAAACTGCTTTAACAGAAGCCTAACCCACAGGAAAACACACGAGGCTTCACTACGCACAACTAAACAGGATGTTAGAATCTAAAAGTTTGATTGTAGCAGATTGTACTCTAAAAGTGGACTGACAGCTAATCCTGCAGTGTTTCACCCACGTCAAGCACTGCAGGACTACACTGGCTCATTTCAGGTTGTTTCCAGAATTAAAAAGAGAGGGAGAACAATGGTATTCATTGGAACTAAAACGAATGCAATGCCACATCTCGCATTTGCCAAAGACATATTCAGAATTTTGGGAAAACATTCACTGACAAGGACTCACAGGGAAAAAGGTGAAACTTTTTACAAGGTGTACAAACAATTTTCTCTCAGATCTCTCCAGCTTTCAGCCATCTTTCGATGAATTTAGGCCAGTTTCCCTCTCATGCCCAAAGCGTGGCACTGCCACTATGTCTCATTTTTGCAATGCACTTTAAACAAATATTTTTTCTTGCCTTCCACAAAGGCCAGATTTTTTAAGTACTGCAAACAGATTTTCCTCCTGAAACCTTTAAAGTTGGTTCTTAGTTAACGGTCTCCTTATCCAAACTGTATATTTAGCTGGACAGCCACAGCAACAAGCTAATTCTTTTCTTTGGATGATGGATTAAACCAAGTTCTATAAAATCCTCTAATCTTGAGCTGTTATTTTATAACTTAAGCCTGATCTAAACTCATCCACACCTTTCTACCTGTGTACTTTGGTCTTTGTATTTGTAAAAATGATTTGAAGGCGTGTCTTTTAATTTTACAATCATGCACCAATTTGTGTTGAAACAGTGAATAATGACCCAGGTAAAACACTGAACTTTGAAGTTTTAATTTGACAGAGCATGAAAGAGTTGGATAAGTACGTTATATTTTGACAGACAACACATTAGTCATCACTGGTTTTGAACAAAAGACTCATGGAAGAATGAGTGCTCAACAATAAAAACTGGTGCCTTCTGTGACAGACCTGTAAGACGGTATTTTTCAGACCAATTCAAAAAGCTTTTTTGTTTTTACATATTTGTTGAAACTTGCTATGTTGTTACAGTATGGTATGAGACAGTTAATCTGACAAAAAAAAAAAATCAAAAACAACCACGAGTGACTAACAGCGCTAACCCTCCTCCTGGCTCTGATTAGTTGTTTCTGCCTAACTGGTGTGTTTCTCCAGTTAGTCTTGGGAGCATTGAGTAGAAGTCATCAGAGTTAAATTTTTTATGGAATATTTGTCTTATGCTGTCATGACATAATGGCAATTTTAACAAATATGTAAAAAACAAAACAAAACAAAAAAATAGATTTTTCTACAGCTTTAAGAACAGAGCTGGAGTCTGTTTACCTCTGGTGGCAAATGCTTCAGCAGGTTTTATCTACATCCATTTAAATAGATTTTGATTTACAAAACAAATATTGGCCAAAACAATTGCAAAGTAAAAGAACTGTGTGAGGCAAGACTAAGGAATAGCTACTACTTAACTCAAGAGG